ATATATATATATATATATATATATATATATATATATATATATACATACATACATATATACACATACACACATATATATATATACTTTATATATTTTTTTATATAATAATTATACGTACGTCTCTCTTTTTTATATGCATGCACAAGTATATCGCGGCAATGCTGTGCCTCAATCTGCTGGTATTTTTTTGTTCATTCCTACGTAAATTTCAAATTGCACGTTCCTCACGTTTATCTTATTACGGAATGTGCGTGTGTACCATGTGCGCCGCATAAATGTAATCGCATTTATATAATATCTCCTTATTTCTGTTCCTCGTATAGATGTTTCCCATATGTGCGTGTGAAGATCATATAATATGTCTAATTTTTATCTTAATACGACAAAACTCAAAAACGAAACACAAGCTAACTAACAAGCTAAATAATTAAAGAAACGTGTGTCATTTTATAGAACTCGAACTAAATTGTGTTCTCATAGCTGATACCACTTCTTGTCTTTATATTTGAGCATCAGTCCATGAGCGCTTGTTGAAAAATTCTCAGCCTCCGACATCATGCGCGCTGTCCGTTCCTCAAGTTGCGACAATTTCTCACCACGCTCCACAACCATTTGATGTGCCATGTTCACTTCACCCGTTGCGCTAGAAACTCGCTCCCGGAGAGCTTCATTTGGTCCTGGAATGTGTTTCGCCACTGTGCGCGACGCACGGCCACTGGATTCCCCGACTACAATCAATGGTTTCAGCATAAGTATTTATCTTACTCCACTTTATCAATTTTCCGTATCAGCATCCGTCATAGAGTTTTAATAATTCGGCAAAAATATATCTACTCACATAATTCTTCTCGATCGAGGCTCCTCGAACCACCGCCGAATAAACCTTTGAAGAAACTCTCTTTGGGTGGTTCTGGCATATCGTGGCCGATAAACAGATCACCCATCATCTCTGTCAGTTCACCACTAATCAAAGAGAATGGAAATCTAATTTATCGATCGAAGTAAATTCGTACAACTTTTCATAAGAATCAATTCAATATATATGGAATTTTTGCTTCTTTTTTTTATCAATTAGACAAAAATGTAATACCAGAATTCACTCGAAATGGAAAACTTCTGAATCTCCATAGGCGATGATAGATATAAACAATGGCCTCGGTTGCTGAAGCAAAGCGTCTTTGCGATTCTGTAAAAAAGATGTACGAAATAACTTTAGTACAAAATATCATTTTATAAGTTGTAGGAGGTTGCACGTTCAAATGACAATACGAGGGAACAACTGTAAAAGAGTGTTTAGTGTGCGTTTTTATGTACATAGCGCTTAAAGCTCTGTTTAATAGATGATGAAAATAATTAAATAGTTATAGAAGGTTTAAATCGCGCGGAAAACTTTCCTACTCGTAATAATTATGTAGTCTGTGGTAAGACCGTAATATCGACATGTTGTATGTTGCGCACAAGGCACTGTGTGTTGTGTAAAGGTTTTTTGTTTTTATTGTGAACTGTATTTCATAGATGACTTACTGATCGGTATCGCCATTAACAAAGAGTTGATGACCCCATATGGACAACATGGGGTCTACAATGCCCTGTTTTGTAGTCTGAAAACTGTGAGAGATTATAGAGACAGGAGGAAAGTGAACGCTCGACCATATACCGACTAATATAAGATTTGTGTTATTTCGTATAATTAGCATTAACCCTTAAAACAGCCAGCCCAGTAATTTTCAAAAAGACTATACGTTTCGTACGACATGTCTTATTCTCTGCACATGTATAAAACTTGTAAATGAAACAGACGATAATGATAAATGTTGCCTGAAAGTTTGTGTGGTGCAAGATTTAACAAGTCGAAATTGTATAAATGGTATATATACACACAATAAGACGTTTCAAAGTGAAAAATAGAAAAATAGAACTTACGGATGAAGAAATGTCCCATAAAATCGGTAATTTTTATAATTATATAATTATATTTTAGAGAGAGAATTATATAGTTTCAAAACATACGTGCGAAGAAAGTAATCAAAATGGAACGTGCAAGTATTTCCATTTATTGTAGCGTAAGTTTTTAGGAACTGAATCCACTCGATTTGTTTCACAACGCTACACCACTCTTTTCAAGTCTAGCATATATGCTCCAAGAAACAAAAAAAAGTGCAGTATAAGTGCTCATAAGAAACGCTACAGATTAAGCATGCTCTAATTGTGTTAAGGGTTAACGAGTGTTTTTTTTTTTATTATTGCAGAGAGAAGCCACATGCTAACAGTATCGATAATAGTTGTTGATCTATTTATTAGTAGATACTTTAGTTGTTAATAAACGCGTCGGCGTAAATGTGGAACAATATTTATACAGAGTGCTATAATATTATAGATAAAAACTTTAGAGTTAAATGTATTACGATGCAGAGTTACTGTCGTACTCTGAATTATCAAGAAAAGAACGCGCGTAGAATCGCGTACTACCAAGATGAATTTTTGTTTCATGTCTCTGAATCAACTCGTTTGCGAGTATAGCCTTTAAAGTTTCTATATGCCTAGGAAAAAATGTTCATATATGAATTTTGTCCACATATGGATATATATAATCATATATATTTATATATGTCCACATTGGAAAGTATGCTGTTGTGAAGATATTGAACTAAATTCTTAGATTTGTAGTAGCACATAATGTCGACGTTTAATTGAACAAAATTACGTTTTCCTTCTTTTCATTCAACAATATTTGTTTTATGTATGAACATATATAATTAGATATGGTCATATATGAGGTCACATATATAGACAAAATTCATATATAATTATATGTGTAATCGTATATATTTTATATAATTATATATGAACTTTTTTCCCGAGTGGTTAGTATTAGCAAACTCTTAACTAGCTTTTATATCTACATAGGTTTACCTATAATTCTATATACAAATCCACTTAAAATTCTGATACACTCTGTATTTATTGTTAAAATTTTATTGTTAACTCTCTATTAAAAGTTAATTTTCTCACTTAAATTAGAGAAAATTGTTGTTAAAGAGAAATAATATTTTACGATAGAAGATTCGTTATTATTAGTTCGAATATTATTAGTTGCTATATCGTCGAAAAATAGAAAATAATTTGTAAAATAAAATATTCTCGAAGAAAAAAACTAGATAATTGTAGCATAGTAGTTACTTATCGTATATAAATTTTATGATAAATTTCAAACTCGAAATTTTTTATTAGTTTTTTGCTTTGAAGAAAGATAAAATTTAAGCGATAATAAGAATAAGCGAACTTTTTATGAGATTAGTCAATCTCATGCGACAAAGTAGTAATAAAACATCGGAAAAATAAATTTGTGATAAGTAACTATATAAATAGAGGATACCAACGTTACTATAAAAGCTGTAAAGATATAGATTTGACAATTCCTTATGTAACAGACAACTTTCGTTTATAAATAATAAATTGCGGCCATTATATGACTTAAACAAATTGTTAATTGTTAAATAAATTTTAAAGTTCATTTTTACCTTTTATTAAAAAATGCTTTCTATTTCTTTTCCGTTTTCTAATATTTTCTAATAATTACATATATACACCGTATTTACAAGTTTAAATTTAATATGATACAATGTGATATAATGCATTAACTGTGTTTTTGATTTAACAATTATAGTTTCCGCGTGTACAGCGTTAACATCAGGAATAATTTTGTTGACCACAATATATACACGAAAGATCTCTTTTTTCATTTTTCTAGTTTTTTAAACACGTTCTCTAGCAACGAAGGATATTTTTAATGCAACATTGTGTTGAAACGATTCTATATGAGATTAATCAATATCTCTTATAAACCTAATTACTGCTTACGAATATGTTGGAAGAAATAAATGAAATTAATGAGAATATATTGATATTATTAACATCACAAATTATGCATATACTACTATGTATATACATATTATGTATATACTGCACTAGTATGTGTAAATATGCACCAAATATATTGTTTTAATATACATATATCACTGTTATCATTCTGAACTTAGGATGTCCTGCTCAATGCTTTATATATATATATATATATATATATATATATATATATATTTTTTTTTTTTTTTTT